AAAACTTTTTTTAAATGTCACACTAGTAGGCTATTCGATTAGAAATTCTAATTCCTGCACCATGATGATATTTTTGACTTATATCTTAAGTAAAAATAAGTTTTGTAAGAATAGGAGAAAACATACTTTAATGTTTAAATGTTATTTATTTTCACTCTTTCTACTGTTTTGTGTTTCAGCACTAGACAAAAGTTTTAATTCCAGGAAAAATTGGTTCTAAATTGATGAAACTGGGAGTGGAATAACCCTGAGTTTGGCATTTGGGTAGCCTATAGTTTCAGGGGAATGTTTGGGTCTTAATCCTCATGAAATTTACAGAGGCAAAAGCTTCCCAGGGAACAAAGATTCTAAGAACCAGCTTCTTCCCTTTACATGGGCACTCCGGCTCCTCAGAGCACTGTCTTCTTTGTTGTTCTTCTCTGATCCAAAGTGTAGTCCCCTTGAATCCCATTTTTTTGTAGTCCCCTTGAATCCCATTTGAATCCACACCAGGCACTCAGCTCTAAATGAGTGCTGAGGCATCTGCATGACCAAGCTGCCATTGCAAGGACAAGCAATCGCCGCAACAGTGACGCAGCTGCCCATTCATCACTTTACCCATTTGGGCAGCCAGAAGAGCACTTTCTGCATCAAGAGGATCTAGGCTCCCACCCACCTCTAACCTCAGGCAAGCTGTGGAGCCCAAACTCAGGTCACTGGGAGGACTGGAGGTAAAGTGTCTTGTGTATTCTAAGGGCACGGGCAGGTGGAAATCCACTGTAATGTTAGAGTCGTTAGACTGAGGACAGAAGTCCTATTTGTAGTATAATCAGTTTCAGAATTCATTCTTCATAGCTCAGACAAAATATCGTGTAAATATAAGGTAATCAGATTGTTTTTATTTATTCTTAAAATACTACAGAATATACAGATATATAGATATATACAGATGTACATTTACTATTTCAATGTTGATTTTACTCAAAATATTTCTAGAAAAACACTTGAAATCTATTTCAGCACCAGTTTTATCAAACAAATAAAAAAACATAGTTGCTGTCACATTTCATTTTGAAACCTAAATAGAATTATTCAGCATGACTACACATCCCAGTCACTAGAGTTGAGCGGCTTTTTACTGTTTAATATTCTCACAAAACAAAACAAGTTTGCTGACTTTGTAAGATTGTCCCAAAGGTCAGTCACCAAATTTTGTGTGGCCTGTGGCTATAACTGTACCAAATGTGCACTGTGGAAAGGACTAGAAATACATCAAAACTTAGAGCAGTGATCAAAGTATGTGACTGTTCTTCCCTCCATTTCCCCGTACCTTCCAATTTTCAGTAAGGTAGGATTGTTTTTTATTGTTAATGGAACTTAATTACAATAAAAAGAGGTACAGAGTCTTGAAGCAATTTGGAGTCTACATTTTGAGTAAAGAAGAAAAATTGGGGGTAAGCAATTGTGCAGTACAACCCCCCATTTTTAAATAAAATGTTTTTATCAAAGTACTGTCAGACAAGAATTCAGGACTGAGTTTCAGTTTAATACCCTTCAAAAGCCATCATAAGCTCTCCAGCAGGTATCAGGAAAGAACACACCTAAGAGAAAAGTCTGATGAATGACAGCCCAGGACCTGCTCATGAAGTTGTGCTTCACATACACAATGTGGTGGTACACAAGGCTGTAAGGCAAACTCACCTTGGTTATTTGTACTACATCCTGAAGGAGCGTGATTGCTCTTTTAGAGTAATAGAGAAAAAAGAGTAATTGCTGTGGAGAAAAAAAAAACCTCACTACAATTTAGCTTTAATAATAAACTACAGCAGAGAGAAATGCTACCCAAAGGTCGAAGAAGACAAAGCCAATCTATTCTAAAGTTCAAAAGTATAAAGCATTTTACAAAATGGTCTTAGAGCCTTAAGATATAACTTGTTAAAATATCTTGAAGTTTTATTCACCCATCTATACAGTATATCTCCTTTCATAATTCAATTAGGGCCCAGTGAATAGAAACAAGCTAATTCCCAGTACCTTTTGAGACTGGACATGTCCTAAAGGGCCACCTTATTTCCCTGCCTTGCACAGCCCAGCAGATCACATTTCTCCTCGAAACAGAATTTTTCTAATGAAGCAGTCTTCAGCTGCCCCAAGTTTGGACCATTAGTGTAAGATAAAGCATTGTCTTCAAAAATCAATTTTTCCCACATATTAGCTAAGCCTGATTGGAATTGGGAAGACAATTCTTGATAATAACCAGCAGTGCTGCATTTATAAATCCTCTGAAAATGCATGCTAGAAACTCCCCAAGTATTCCTGACTCACAGAACAAGTTTACCCCTGGGGAAAGAATGGAATAGGAGCAGCTACGGTGCTGGGTGCTAGCATTATGCAGCAGGGGGGTTGATAATTCAGTCGTCCACCAAGTTATACTTGCCTGCTTAAGTGTCATCGGATTTCAGCCTTGGACTGGCCTTAGAATCAATAGACTCAGGCTTATGCCCACTATAACTGCCCATTTTAAGAGCCTTACTAGCCACACAACTCAGTTACTTTTACTTCCAGGACCTGTTTGGTTTTTGTTTTCCCGTGCGGAGGATTAAACCCAGGTCCTCACACAGTCTACACAGATCTACCACTGAGCTGCACCCCAGACCCTCAGCCTCTTTCCTTATCTGTAAAATGTAAACTCCACCAATCATATCTGAGGATGACTGATATTGTACCTAGGGATTGTATATTCACTTCATTCCAAAGATGAAAAGGAATCTGCTTTTCTATGTCTAAATTTTTATGGCCAGTTGTAATATGAATGTGTAATTTGTATTTAAGTGCATATATGTCCTGTAATGTATACATACACATAGTCTGGAAACTAAATGAACATAGGACAGAGTCATCCTTCAGTACCTCCAAGAGATTCATTCCGGTACTCCTCAGAGAACACCAAATTCTGGGGGTGCTCAGGTCCCCCCCATAACATGGCACACTATTTGTGTATAACCTACGTATAATCTACCTCTAACTTACACTGCCTCACACATACTCACACTGTCTCATGCCACAGAAATGTTATGTAGCTGTTTTACCCTACAGTTTAAGAAGTAATGACAAGGAAAAAGTCTACCCATTAGGACAGACGCAGTTTTCTCTCTGAATACTTCCAACATGGGGGTTGAATCTGAGGACCTGGGCCCTGTGGGGACAGGGACACGCCTTACAATCCCTTTAACCAGAGAAAGAACTGCAACCAAATGTAAGCCACACAGCTTTCCTCTTCGCTCACAGCTGTCAGGCATTTAAGTGACATCACCAATGGCAGAGAGGAATGGGTAAGAGGCCCTGGATTTGATAATTCTATCTCAAAAGAACATTTCCCAGTGGAAGTTTATTTGGGGCAAAACAGCTCAGACATCTTCTTCCCTCCCTGTTTCTACAATGTTACTTGTTTCTTTCACTACAATTAAAGCTCAGTGAGGGCAGGGACATTTGTTCACTGCCCTATCCCCAGAACATAAAGCAGCAAAGGAAATACAGAAAGTGTAACATAAATTAACAATAGCCAGGCAATTATCTGTAGATATTTAACACATCAACCCAAAACTAATGGCTTAAAACAGCAATTATTTTGTATTATCTCTGAATAATGGCCCAGCCTTGGAAATATTACAGCTTCTATTAGTCAAAGCAGTCAAAAGGTTCACTCAGGTTGAGCAAGAGACTCTAGTTTTCTTTATTTCCCCCTCCTCCTGGTGAGATGGGGCTCAAACCGGGGGCTTCATTATGCTAAACAAGTGCTCTACCAACTGAATTCCGTCCTCTTTTCTTTTTAAACACGGAATAGAAAGGTCCTGGAAAAATACATGGAGTGAAAATATTGTAGGTACTGTATTTTGTAGAGTTCACTCTGCCCTAACAAGAAACAAAAACTCTGTAAGAATCTGTAAGGTCATAGGCCAGAGTCCCAGCAGAGAGGTGATGGAGGAGGAGGAAGCTGAGAGCGGCAACAGGTGTTGGTCCTCAAGATGAAGACAAGGACACACCACTGTGACAGCAACAGAACAAGGCACACCAGAGTTGGAGGGCCAGGAAAGCAGAGGTGTCAAAAACTAGAGCTCGGTCATAGTAAATAACAGTAATCAACAGATTGCTGTCGAGATGCTGTAACCTAGGATGGAAAATTTCATGCCTAGCACGCTACTTCTGCGGGTTGGCTTCATTTGCCAAGAAGCCTGGTGGGAGATTTTCAGCACAAGCTTGTCCTTGCCTTGCCTTCCTAAAGCAAAGATGGAGTTGCTTCTTCAACACAGCCTTCTCTTCTTCCTACAGTGGGTCCCTCAGCACTAACAGTGAAGGGCCAAAAACATGTTGAGACGCTCATGACATCAGTGAAGTTAATGTATGTGTGCGCTTAAGTCTGGAGGATATACACAAAATTACTTGAATGGTAGTATTGTATTTTCTAGTATTTCTTAAAGTTTTAATAGATCAATGCTTCAAATGTATATTTATACACTATTTAAAATTAAATCTTGTCAAGCTTTAACTTCGTTAGTAATTAATGTTGATACTGCAAATGTGTGAACAAGCCTGAGCTTCATTTATAGACCATAACTAGCGACATCCACTTTTCTCTTCTGTCCAGTTGGGGCAGGATTCCCAAAGTAGCTTAGTCTTTAAAGAACTCAGTGTTGCTCCTTCTACCTGTCTACAGCTGGGAATCTTCGCTGGCTGGAAACAAGCCCCGTCTTGACACCTGGGATGGCACAGCAGCGCCATGGCTTTCTCCCCCTTCCTGTAGAAGCATTCAGCGATGACTCCGCAAAGAAAGCAGCGCACTCGATTATTCCCGTTTTCTAACCGGCCCGTTTTCTTTTCCAGCTTAGTCCTCGAGAAGCTAAGTCTTACGTATTAGTCTTATGTGATGCTACAGCCTTGCATGTCTGTAATATTTAGCTAAGAAAACATATCCTTTCCCTTGTCACTTTCTCAGGCATAATAATCATTTCATTTATCCTCAGCCCTTGGATTATCTCAGGATGTTGCAGGTGCAACTTTCATGGCGGCAGGCAGCTCAGCGCCTGAATTAGTTACCGCTTTCCTAGGTAAATATTGCTCCTTATGCTTCCTGCTTACTCAATGTAATTTTATTTTTCTTCAAGTTAACACTAACTTAGCAGCCGCTATCTTGCTAATAGGTATATTTATCACAAAGGGAGACATCGGCATTAGCACTATTCTTGGATCTGCAATTTATAATCTCCTTGGCATCTGTGCAGCCTGTGGCCTGCTTTCTAATGTGGTAAGAAAACATTATTTAATAAAATGCATCATCTTGACGAGTTATAAAAACAGTTGCTTATTGGCCAGGGTGAACAAACAAAGCACTAGTAATATATTCAATCAAATTTATTCCACAGAAAAACATTTATTCAGTTTATTCCAATTGATGAAATCAAGGTATGGTTAGAAACAATTGTTCCTTCCAAATTCATTTCCTCTAAGCAACATGCAAAAGGTAACAGCATCTTAAGCACACACACATAGCCCTAGCATTGTACCGTGCATCACCCTAGATCCCTCACACCAACTGTCCCCCACAGGCCGCGCCACTGTCCTGCTGGCCCCTCTTCAGAGACTGTGCAGCGTACGCCATGAGTGCAGCAGCAGTTTTTGGCGTGATATTTGACAACCAAGTGTACTGGTAAGCTAGAAACCACTGTTCCTCTCACGTAAAACCTAACTAGAAAGGAGTTTCTGAAATCTGAGGGCTCAGTTGTCTCGATGCAGACATCGCTGCGGTCATGACACGCCCTTTCACACAATATCCCCACAGTTGCTGAGCTAACTTTCAAACGAGCACCACATATCTATTAGGTGTCGACCATTATGCTGGTATCTAAAAGACACTAAAACATGGCCACCTATGTCATGTCTTACATTAACTCCGGAGGACATGAGAAAAACAGAAAACAAGCGGAACTGTGCTCGAGAGAGCGCCACAACTTAGCAGCACCAGACAATATCTGCTACCAAGAAACTTAAAATCTAGCAGGGAAGATAACTGCTAAATTAGTCATCCCGATAGCTGGTCCATCTTCCACAAACAAACCACATTAGCATAGAAAGGATCTTTCTGGAATCAGCAGCCTGCAAGGGACGGTGACTGTGGACATACCCAAGCTCATGAACGCCCCTACGTTAGGAAAATCCGGAACTCTGTCATTCAGGGGCAGTGGAGCCATTCTCTGGCTCTGACACAAAAATGTAAGTTCAAACGGAGCATCATCAGCTAGTTATAGTTGAGTACAAAGTCAGAGCACAGGCAAACAATTTTCAGGGTTCTATGTTGCAATTAGTGAGATGATCTTTGTTTTCTTGTGAATGTAAGCCCAATTCAGCTACATTAAAGTCATCAAAAAAAATCTCTATATGGCAAGCAAAACAGCCCATCCAATGTTTAACATATCTTGAATATTTTCAAAGTTCTTAAACCAAAAAGCTTGAGTATACACAGCTGAAAAGATTTATGTATATTCTTTTATAATTATTTCATCTATGGGGGAAGACTACATAAAAGAACTGAAGCAGAAAATGCCCATTACAACTCATTATTTTATTTTGAAAATCTCCAGTTTTTACTTTCAAGGCACTTTTTATGCCTAACATATGGAAGGAATCCGCAAAGGTAGGTAATGGATTGATAATCCTGCTTTTAATACAAAATGTCAGGCTTTTATCAAAGAGTTACAATGATGCTATAACCAAGTATAGACAAAAATCTACAAAAGTATGTACAAATGTTTCTTTGTTTTAATGCTACTTTTGTTAGAACATTATCAGAAGGATACCATCTGAGTTAGAGATGTAGCTCAATAATGCAGTACTTCCTTGGCATGCACAAGGCACTGCAAAAAATGAGTAAAAGATATGAAAAAAACACACTTTAAATTTAAAAACAAAATTTCTCTTTAATTTCTAGGTATGAAGGAAGTTTACTGCTTTTGATATATGGACTCTATGTCTTGGTGCTGTGTTTTGACATTAAAATCCAGCAATGCATTCTAAGGAAATGCAGTCCTTGCTCCACATGTCTTGCCAAAGCAATGGAGGTGAGAGGCGAGCAGGTACTGATGGAATGGGAAGATGAGGGTCAACCATTCATTCGCCGGCAGTCAAGAACCGACAGTGGGATATTTCATGAGGACTCTGGTTACTCCCAGCTCTCTCTAAGTTTACATGGCCTCAGTGGAGTTTCTGAAGGTAATAACTACAGCCTTCCCACCAGTAAGTCTATCCACCAGGAAAGTCCTAGAGTCAGTCTCATTTCAACTTAGCAACTGCTGTGTACTTTTACTATGTAATACTGCAGAGGTTCAGACAGGAAGTTCCAGTCCTTATGGAGCTCCCAGTGTTATTTAAATAAGATAAACTGTAGTTCATAAATGGAACAGATAAAATATAAAATCTGGCAGTGACAGATTAACAGAGAGAAAGGATCATTTAACTGAACTTTGTAGAACGTTACAACCGATAAGTGAGAGGAACGGTCTGTGTACTGAGGCCAAGGAGACAAGAGCAAAAGGCCCACTGAAGTACTTGCATAAATGAGCCCAGGCAGTTCATGCTTGGTAAGGAAGCAGAGGAAAGCTGGATGGAAAGGAACGCAACAGGGGTCCTACGTGCTAGGGTATGAGTCTTGGAAGGTGTGTGAGAGCAATGTTATTAGAGCTGTACTTTATCAGGAATATCACCGGCAACAGTAACCACAGAACCTAAACACGGGTCAGAGATGGGGGTCTATAAGAGGCTGTGTGCGGCACAGCTGGAGTGATTATGCAGAAAGGCAGTGCAAAGCCTGAGACCATGCAGAGGAAGATGACCAAGGGACTGCAGGGGCCAGGAAAGGGGTAGAAAACCCCAAAGTTAGTCTTGACTGTGAACAGAGGAACACTCTTTACTAAACTGGCAATTCAAGACAAGGGACTGGGTTGGAGGAAAAGAAAAATGAAACAGAAACAGCTGAGGTTTAAGCATCATGTGAAGCAGCAGCAAAACATTCTGATAAATGTGTTCAGTGGAAGTCAAACTCAGCTATGCCTAGAAGTTTAAATTTATGAGTCACTTTAAAAAAAATGGCTGCATATGATTTTATTTTCATTATTTATTCTAAGTTACTACTTTAAAAAATTAAAACATGCTTTTTCCTCTTCTTACAAAAATTAGTTTCTAGTCTTTAAAGTACAAGATGTATGTGTCTCTTAAGTTTTATAACCAGGAACTCAAGAGCCCATCCAAATTATTTTATTACATTCAAATTACATCTAATATTAACTAATGGCACATCGGTTGAGGCGCAGTAAACTTACATGTTATTTTACTAGCATTACTTGTAATGCGATTTGCTCTAAAGTATATTATTTTCTAAATGCCATACAAATTTTAAACAATTCCAAAATAAGTCCTCGTTTTTATCTCATGTATTGTTATTATCCCTGTCCTCCATTCTCTTTAAACAAATTGAATAAAAGGACACCCTCACATTGTATAAATTACATTGTAGGTTATATGCTAGTTCCTGTTGTCTAAAGGTTCTTTTTAGGAGCTGTCAAGAAACCAGAATTTAGTAAATGAAGTAATGATACAGACAAAAACTCACAGTAAGAGTTAGTGCACAATACGCAACTTGGGAGGAGTCTGCTATAACCATGCTACATCCCTGAACTATGCATTACAGCAGGGTAGGGCAGAGGTCTCATCAGTGTTGAAATGACAGGCAGCTTCACAGCCTGCCGGGCTGATGCCCAAGACAAAAAGTTCCAAAGACAATACATGGAGAGAAGCCAGAGAAACCAACTCCCACTTCATAAACACTGTCTCTAACCTATTTCAAAAATGGCCCATGACATTCTGACGGACTTAAGGCTCTAAACCAAGAAATGCTGATTGTGACATCATGCAGTGTTTGCCCTAAAGTTTCTTCTTGCCAGATCTATCAGTAATGAGGTATTCAAATGCTTTAAATAGCCTTTTAAAAACTGACACAGCTAATTTATTTCAATATACCTCTCTAAATGGGCATTTCTAACTTAATTGGCCATTTGAGAAAACTCAAAACTGTTTAATTTTTCCACGACAGATCCACCAAGTGTTTTCCACATGCCTGAAGCGGACTTTAAAAGAATTTTTTGGGTATTATCCCTCCCTATCATCACATTACTTTTTCTAACAACACCAGATTGTCGAAGAAAGTTTTGGAAAAACTACTACGTGATAACCTTTTTCATGTCTGCACTATGGATATGTGCATTTACCTATGTCCTGGTTTGGATGGTCACTGTAACTGGTATGTATTTTAAATATAACAGGACAACAAGAAAACATTTTCATGTAAGAACAAACTACATATGTTCACTTAGAGAAGTCTAGGGAGCACTTGTCTTTCAGTAAGACAAGTGCTATTTACAAAAAGATTAAATGTAAATATAATAACAAATAACAAGATCATTCAGATTTTGTAAGTTGCACCTTACATATCAACTACATTCTCCCTATTACACAGCATGAAGTATAATTCAAGGAATCTTATAAATAAAATCAAATTCATAAAACTTTCTATTATGCTAATAAGTTACATTACTTGGAATTCACAATAAATAGACCTTACATACTGAATTCTATTCCATATATGAAAAACAGATTAAGGAGCCAGTGTTTTAGGAAAATAATGGGTGCTCACTGTTTAAACAGATTATATTTTATTTGGCCTCTCAATATGGCAACATAAATATAAAATTACTGAAAAGGATACAAAATAAAATTTCCATTTAGGTTTCTACTATCTTCATGACCAGGACTCACTATTATTGCTTGTTCATAGTTTTCTCTGATTCCCAAATGAAAAGCTGAATATAAACACAGACGGGGGAAGGGGTTCCTCTCAAAAAGGCTGCGCTGAATTGCCACACATCGGAGGACCATGTCTGCTGTAACTATTACGTGTGTGCCCCATCGCCCTGCCTGCTTTTATTCACGAAGTGTCCTGATCACAGTCCTCTCATTTACTTATGACTGCTCTCACACTGCACTGGTGGGGGCTTGATAACTGCAGAGAGCCTGCAAAGTCCACGTCATTACTATCTGGCCTTTCCTCCCCAAATCAGCTTACTGTCTTTCCTAACTTAATACATGTATTAGAAGAGCATGCTAGCAAAAAGCAGAATGTTTTGCTCTTTTTAATGAGGAAAATGAAAATGTCTAATTAGTTTGCATATTAAACCTATCCAAATTTTCTCAGAGCACATTTGATATTAAGAAAACAGGAAGAGAGTAGCCAGGGATTTAGCTCAGCGGATCGGTGGCCTCCCTTGCAAGAGCAAGGACCTGAGTTCAATCCCCAGTACAAAAAAAGAAAATAGAAAGAGCAAAATCAAGTAAAAGATCACAGAACAGCGCCTTAAGATGATAATGAATGGTGCCATTTATGTACATAGGAACTCTAGCAAAGTCAGTAACAAAACTTAACAACCAATTTCAATTCCAACACCAATATATAAGCATGGAGTAAGCTACTAATTAAGTTCATTAGCATTTTAAAAGAAATTTTAAAAAAAGATTTTAGCCACGTTTTCAATTACATTAAAAGAGCAGTCACATGTGCCCTTCCCTACCTTTCTTAAACTTTCCTGTTTCTGTTTCCAGGAAAAAATGTTGAATTGACATAAAATTTAACAGAAGTATTAATAAATTGGGACTGTATCTTAGAAAGACTCAAATAGAAAACAAGTTTCATTTTCATCAGATATATAGCTTTTACCCAGAAAACACTAAATTATGGTTATGTCACTAAAGCAGTTTTAAAAATGTATACATCTTAACACATCTATAGCTTAAAAATAGCTATAATTTGCTTAGCTCTAATACTTCAAATTTTTTTAATACAAGAAAATGATCAATCTCCTTAGCATATACCAAGCAATAGGCCTAATGATGCAACTACAGACATGTACAATTTCTGTAAGGGTAACAAGATGATTCCTCATTGGTAGAAATTTGGCTGCTAAGTATTTTAAAAATCTGTACTACCTGAGTTATCCATATTACCAACCTGATTCCAAATATTTTCCTAATTAAAAACTAAATACAGGGTAGGGGGGTAGTAGATATGATAAAAACAATATAAGTATTGAAACCTAGTATTTTGTAAAAATTAATAGGCACTCATAATAAAGGGAAAAGAGAAAAAATAATCTGAACATGCCCGTGGTTCTTTCTGAACAAGAGCCACCTGAAGTTCCTGCAGAGAATATAAGATGTGTAACGTGTAGTGTCCGTGTTACTGCAGGGGAAACACTTCAGATCCCAGACACCGTGATGGGCCTCACACTCTTAGCGGTGGGAACCAGCATTCCAGACACTGTGGCAAGTGTGCTGGTGGCAAGAAAAGGTAAGAAGTGAGGCCTCAACTCAAGCTGCAGTGCCCATTCTAGAAGGCTGGTTAAAATACACTGAGTCAAAGTAACTTTAAAACTACTTATTTCCTCATTCAACACACTTTTAAGAAAAAAAAAAAAAAGCGACTCGAGGGCAGGAGTTTACTACATAATAGCATATTAATTTCACTTAATCTAACCCCCATATAATAATGAAACATGCACTAAGTAGTAATTAACTATGTTCAATCAGAATGAAAAGCAACAAATAAGCTACATACCTTGTTGGAAAATGGTTTAATAAATAATTATTATTAAATAAATGTTAAGACTTTAAATACTAACTGAAGAAAAAGTTTAAAATACAAATTCAACAAGACGCAATCTAGTAACAATTTTCCAAAACTAACCAAAAACGAAAAAGTATCCAGTGTTTTTCTTACAAAGATTATTAATAAAATACAGTACTGGTATGCACATTTTAACAACATGCTTCTTGTCTGCAGGGAAAGGAGACATGGCCATGTCTAACATCGTGGGATCCAATGTGTTTGATCTGCTATGCTTGGGCATTCCCTGGCTCCTTCAAACTGCATTTGTAAACACATCGGCTGCTGTAGGTGTGAACAGCGTAGGACTCACTTACATAGCTGTCTCCCTCAACATTTCCATTGTTTTTCTTTTTCTAGCAGTTCACTTTAATGGCTGGAAATTAGACAGAAAGTTGGGAATAGTCTGCCTATTACTGTACATGGGGCTCACTACACTATCAGTTCTGTATGAACTTGGGATTATTGGAAATAATAAAATAAGGGGCTGTGGAGGTTGATTTTAATAGTGTTATGTGAAAAATGTAAATGGGAGTACAGAGAAGGAAAGATCCCTTTCTTCGTTTAAATCAAATAAAAACATCTTTAACTTTATAATCTAACACTTATAGCAATTCTTTATGCTAAAGAAAAGTACTTTAAAACCAACTGAAATCATATTCTGATTAGTCTGAGCCCTTCTTTTCACGAACAATTAGATTATAAAACCAAAGTTTTAAAAAAACCATCTATCTTTTACCTTACAATAACTTGGTAAGAGCTGGGGCAACTAGAACAAACCAACCCTACTACGTGATAATGAAAACAAGAAAATGGCTTACTTCTTTAAAAACAGTATAACCATTCATTTAAACTGAATGACCAGACTTGCTGTTTTTTGAAACCCAACATAAGATTAACAAATATCACAGTATATTTTTAACATTATACTGTGGAAAGCTGGTGGGAATTTTAAAAGTTCATTTTTTACAGCTTTTGTTAAGTATACAGTATTACTAAAACAACAAAAAAATGACTTTTACTAGAAGATTCAGCAAAAACAAATGAAGGAATGGTCCAACCGTAGTTGAAATTACGCATTACGATCTAAGCGGACATCAATTTCTCTGCCACTGATTTTGATGCCATTCATTATTCTGCAGGCCTTTTCAGCTGACTCTGGGGAGTCAAACCTGACTGTTCCACAGCCTTTTGACTTTCCATTCTCCATTTTTATTTCTGCAAACATTACATGACCTGTGAAAGAAAACGTTACAGAATTGTTAGTCATTTCATTCTACAGGCTTGAAATTCCTCATAGCCAATGAAATGATAATTTGGTTAGAAACATTAGCATTAATGATAAAAAATAATGAATCCTATGAGCATAACTATTTTATATTCTGAATTCAATACAATCCACATAAAGTAATAAATGTTTATTAGCATATATAAAATTTGAATTGGGATAAATCCTACCTAGGACTTGCCATGTTTTATTTTTGTTAAATTACTAATTTCTGCAGTGAATTTTTTTGCAGTTAACGCTACAGTAACTAGCACTAAAAGCCACCTACTCACCATGACCCATACATAGTAAACTTGCATGTATGATCAAAACCATTTTTAGAATAAATGGCTGCTCAGTGCTTAGTCTTCCTAATCCCTCTTCTTCCCTTTTATCCTCACTTTACTACTTTGTCCCCTACCCCAAAATCTAAGTTCTTTTGGGCCGCAAAAGGCTCTACCAATTCTGTTTTTCAACCTGAGTGCCAAAGCCACTCAGGTGATAGCGCCATTTGGACTCCCAAGTCTCAAGGATGAAATCAAATGTTATAGAAACAATCAATCCACAAAGGTAAAAACAGGATGTTCACAGCACAGCTCCAGGGTGGTTTCCATAGAGCAGTGGTTATCATGCTCTCCTAACACAGTATAAAGAAGAACCTTAGAGAAGCTTCATGGAGAAGGAAGAAAACCAACTAACTGTTCCTTGCACAGTTAATAGTGTTACTAACTCTAGATACTGGTATTTGAAGCAAATCACTATCATTTATCAAAATACAATGTGGCCATAAAAATCTATCATTTAAACCACAACACTTCGGAGAGTAAAAGGGGGAGCTACCAACAATTACACATCAGTAAGAGGTAAAAAATAAGGCCACCCTTAGGCACCTGGGATGCAGGATTGCAACCATCCAAACAGTTCACCAGGGTGGGCCATGACTACTTACCACCCTCCCCACTCTAGATGGACATCAAGCTAGAGGTCTTCAGACACTACAAATCAAGCAAGAAGACTTCACACAGCACAGCTGCAATATCACTATAGGCTAATTTTACTCTGGCAACCAAACCAGACAGCCAGACAAACGTAGTTCTGTGAAATGAAAAAGGAAAATGGGAGGGGAGTAAAAGGAGAGGTCCTTAGAGCCAGGGGTTTAGCTCAGTGGTGCCGCCACCTGCCTCAAAAGCACAAGGTCCCAAGTTTGATCCCCAATACTGAAAAAAAAAGATACATTGGGAGCTTGGGCACACATAGAAATGAGAGCCCAATACACAAATTTTTTTTTCAGCTTTAATTGAGTTTATTGGTCCATTTTAGGGATACAGTACAGTTACATTCATTGTTGGGATCTTGTACCTCCACATGACAAGTCTTGATTCTCATTTTTTCCCCTTACCGCTGCCCTCCCTTCACCCCCTCCTCCCGTCCCCATCTACAAACACTTTATTTCCATCTTTTCATTATCTCACTTTTTTTTCTTTTCCCTTATTACCCTTCCCCTACTCATCCCACCTTCCCTACACCTTTAGCTCCTTTCTTCCCTTTTCGAAATGTCAGTAATCTTATTAGGATCTTGTGTATTATTGCAGATTATGCACACCAGAGAAACTATTCGGTATTTACACATGTGCCAACACACAAATTTTAATGTTTTTCTAACAACTGTAGAGATTTGAGGGGATGTGTAGTGAATGTAAAATACCTAGATGATGTAGCAGTCTCCCGTGTAAATTACAATAAAACAAAGTAAATGAAATTTAAACAAAAAATAAATTTGATCACAAAATGCTCCCAAAAAAGGAGAGATCCCAACAGAAGGTCACATAGGCCTTTTCTAGATGTGGAGATCAATTTTTAACCTTAATGCATGAGTAAAACTGCTCTCCTGTTGCAATCTTGATCTGAACTGCCTCTTATCTATAATATCCTGGACTACTTTTCTACTTTTGTCCTCTCACCTAACCCTTATTATTATATTTTTTTTAAAAAGCCAACCGGTTGTCAACTGCTCTCCTTCTGAACACTAAATGGTCTAAAATAATAAATGCCATTTTAAGACAAAACCATGATCTTGTAAGGCAGGGCAGCCAGTTCTTAAATGCATTCTAAAAGTTACAAAACAGACTAAATCCCAGAGAAATGCATTATCAACTGGTAAAATGAAAAGATAATTTTTAAAATAAAAATACAGTGATCCCATTCCTCAGTAAACACCATAAAATTAAACTAGGATATATACACGTTTTTTGCAACCTCCAGGGCTATCACAAATGTTGGTACCCTTAAGAAAAGAAAGCTTAATTAAAGAAGCATACCTTCATAAATGGCAGTACTTACTGGTAATTTACAAGGGGGCTGTAAAGAACTTTGAAGCGCTTTAAAGTTACAGGTTTTCCCTTATTCTAGTTTTCCCTAAAAACTTGGAAGTTTTTCTAAACCTGAGTACCCTACCACAGGTTTATAAGCAACAGCAAGTTCCCCTCAGGCAAGAAATCTTCAAAACTTCAAAGGAAACACATCACTGTCTGTCGTATAGTCTGTCTGACTCAAGATTCTCTTCCTCTTTAATGGTCTCCCTGGGCCCAGAATATGCATGCAGACCTCACAGCAGTCCAGCCCCTTCCAGGCAACACCAGCCCTGGGTACAGGCCTGGAACCTCCCTCCCAGCTCAGATGCTCAGCTCTGCAGGGCAGCCCATAGACACCTGCTTCAGCTGAGGCTACCAGGAAACCCCACCAGGGGAGCCGGAGGTTTTCTAAGTTTCTTCCTAACCCAACAAAAAATGCCAATAGAGATATTTTCTTTTCTAATGAGAAGTTACTCGGGAGACAAAGTTAGTTTCAAATAAGTGATTAAAATCAGTCATACCTTTTTTACATGTTTTCAAGATTTCTTCAACTGATGTAAATATCTACTGATCTTATGTGCTACCAAGAAAAAAATCACAAAAAAAAAAAAAAAAAAAAAAAAAAAAAACAGCACTGATACTTTAGCCACAGTAGGGGACAAACCAGTATGCTCTTACACACAATAGTTATACAAATTACTGGCTATACAGTAAAAGAAAGCTTTCTGCCTTAACACAGTCTACTAATATTTACAGGGTACATTTTGAGAAATACTGCTATAAGAACATATCTAAAAATATACCAAATTGAAGCATTTATAAATAAGTAAATAATTCGATAAAATCTACTAAAGAAGGCTCTAACATAACCGTGAGAAAATATCAACATCAGACATTCTATCATAAGAAAGCATAATTGTTATGAAAGGGCAGAAATAAGTTTTTTTAGAAAACAAAACAAAGTGCTTCCATCAATGAATTTGCCTCACACATTATTTTTACTCTTACAATTATCTTTATTGCTGTCTTTTAAAGTCTCCTCACCACCTTTGAAGTAGTTAAGTGTTTTCTTTGGAAAACAGATCTATCTCAAGCCTCCCTTCTATCAGTTAACAAGCACAGTGATGGTAAAAATATGTTCATCATGGAAATCTGCGGGGCAAATCTGCTTATGTGATCTACAGCAGGGCTGACTGAGAACAGGCTTCCCTGCACTGCAGTTCTAAGATGTTAGACTCCTGGATCACTGAGCCAGAGGCCATCACACAGCTCCCACACAGAGGGCAGAGGCACAAGACTGAAGCTGCCTATCTGACCCCTTCAGCACCAGCTGAACCAGTATGGACCTCCGACTCTAAGTAAGGCAGTGGATTTGTATTAAAACTCTCAAACATGCACATCACTGAGGAATTAGATATGGCAGGATGAAAAGATTTATTTTACTGCAGAATGATGTCTTATTAGCAAGGGCTCAAAAACATTACCTTTGGGGGGCTGATTAGAATTAGGACGAGTTAGAAAAGAGCAATTACACTCACTTATTTCTCATATTGCTATATTTGGGGAGATATGAGACATTTTTCCTGAATTATAAAGGCTGCAGAAATGGTGTATTGAAGGTAATATAACCCATCAAATAATATTTGTGCCAGCCTTTGTAACTGCTCCATCAAAAGCAGCTAACCACTGGAGATACTTTATTAGCAGAAGCTTGGCTCCTTTCCTGGAAGATATGGTACAGCAGATACACACAGATTACCACTAGACTCCGGCGGTGAAGCAAGTTATGGTACATATGTATTCACCTTGGGGTCAGGAGAACAAAAAAATGGGCTTTTTAATGCCAAAAACCTATTACTGGCTTGCATCAAGTTAAAAGAAACATCCCATACTAAAAAGAAAAACCTTGAAGGTGTGCACAAACATAAATACAGTGATGTGGCAGAAAAATGGATGGTTCAGTTCACACAAGTCAGATAACATCTGTACTCGTCAACAGCTGGACATTTTGTTCTGTGTGATTATGATGTCTTCTTTGCCATCAAGGCAATTCAAGGTTAAAAATGCGGGGTAGGATAGGGAATTGTGTAAGTATGGGATTACCTTAACAGAAAAATCTCAGAAGCTTATACAACAGAATTGAAAATAAGTCTTTTGGCGGAGTTTTTGGGGTCTTCTATGTAGAGTATCATGTCATTCACAAATAATAATTGAACTTCTTCTATTCATTTCCTTATTCCTTTTCTCTTGTCTAATTACTCTGGCTAATGTTTCCAAAACTATACAGTAGACAGCCTTGTCTTATTCCTGATTTTAAGAAAATTCAGTGTTTGTCCATTTAGAATGAGGTTAGCTATTGGTTTGTCATAGATAGCTTTTATCAGATTGAGATAAAGACCATCTATTTCAGTTTTCTGTAGGGTTTTATCATGAATGGGTATTGGACTTTGTCAAGTACCTTTTCTGCATCTACTGAGATGATCACGTGATTTTTGTCCTTGGCTCTGTTAATATGGTGTATTTATTGATTTCCATATGTTAAGCCATTTCTGCATCCCTGGGATGAAACCTATTTGGTCATGGTGTATAACCTTCTTGATGATTTGCTGAATTCTATTTGCCAGTAATCTTATGGAGGATTTTTGAATCTGTTAAGATTTTTTTGGTTGGATTTGTCCCTACTTTGGGTGTCAGGGTAAGGCTTGCTTCCAGAAATGAATCTGGGAGTATTGTTCCCCCCTGTGGCATTACATTTTCTCTAAATTTCTGGTAGAATTGAGCAGTGAATCCATCAGGGCCTGAGCTTTTTCTTTCTTGGTAGGTTTTTAATTACATCTTTAATTTCACTGATTGATATTGGTTTTCCTCAACTTTTTTTTTCTTTTTGGGGGAGGGGGCGAGTACCGGGGATTGAACTCGGGTCCTTGCACTTGCAAGGCAGGCCACCGAACCACTGAGCTAAATCCCTGGCCCTAACTGATATTGGTTTATTTAGAATTTTTATATTTTCTTAATTCAGCTTTGTTAATTCATATGTATCTAGGAATCTATTCATTTCTTCTGTTTTCCATCATATTATAATATAGGTTCACAAAGTAGATATTAATGATCTTCTGGATTTCTGCATGATCTGTTGTGATTTCACCCTTTTCATTCCTACTTGCAAAGGTTTGACTCCTTTCCCTTCCTGGATTAGGTTGGCTAAGGGTTTCTCAATTTTATTTAATCTTTCAAAGAATCCACTTTTCATTGATTCTTTGTATTGTTTTCTTACTCTCCACTGCAATGATCCTGCTTGGATCTTTAAAATTTGCTCCTCCATATGCGCTCTGGCTTGACATGCTCTTCTTTTTCTTGAAGGTTGAGGTTCAACATTAGTCTGTTTATTTGATCTCACTCTATTTTTCTGCTTTCACTGTGTCCCTTAAGTTTCAGTATGTTGCACTGGCATTATTATTTAATTGTAAAAACTGTCTAATTTCTTCTTTAATTTCATCTGTGACCCAGGTGTTAATTTCCACGTGTCTATGAAGTTCTTATTATTTCTTTTGTCACTGATTTCCAAGTCCAATGGTCTGATAATATGCATGGGATAATTTCAATCCCTTTGCATTTATTTAAGCATGTTCTATAAGCTAGTATGTGGTCTATTTTGGAGAACATTCCATGTGCAGCTAGGAAGACTATATATTCTAATATCTAGAATATATAAAGAACTCAAAAAATTCAGATTCCCCAATTTTAAAGACCCAATCCAAATGAAAATGGGCAACTGAAATGAACAGACATTTCTCAGAAGAAGTAGAAAAAGTAAATATATGAAAAAATATTCAACATCACTGGTCATTCGAGAGATGCAAATTAAAACAACCCTAAGATTCTATCTCACTCCAGAAAGACTGGCTGATATCAAGATATATATCAACCAATAATTAATGCTGGGGCTCTGAGGAAAAAAAAACCTTCTGCACTGTTAGTAGGAGTGCAGACTGGTGTAACCACTATGGAAATCAGTGTGGAAATTCCTCAAAGTTCCATTCAATCCAGCTGTTCCTCTTCTTGGTATCTTCCCAAGAGAATAAAAAGCATCACACCACAGCAATATATGCGCACCCATGTTTACAGCAGCAGTTTGTAATAGCTACATCTTGGAAACAGCCCAAATGCCCATCAACTGATGAATGGATAAAATGTGGGTTTTTAAAAATACAACAGAGTACTACTCTGCCATAAAGAAGAAGAAGCTTGAGACATTTCTAGGTAAAAAGATGCACCTTGAGACCATACTTTTAAGCAAAATAAATCAGACATACACGTTTTAATTGTTTCTCTGGTATGAGAAAGTAGAAATAAGGACCAAACAGATATTAGGAAATGAGAAAAAAGTGAGAAAGGGAACAAGGGAGTAAGGGTGAGCAAAAGGAAAGAAGGGATAAGAAAATAAGAATGGAAGGAAAAAACGAAAACAAGGCATTTGTAGATAAAGGAACTGCAGGGAGGGGAGAATGGGAAAAAACGGGGAAGATATATCATGTATAGGTACAAATTCCCCATGATGAATATTGTCATTATGTATATCTAAAATGTACCAGAATAAAATAAAAAGTAAAAAAAAAAATAATAATAATAATCAAAGAATTGGAACTAAAGGCAAGATCACTCTTACAATAGATTGGTCAAAACAAGATAAAAGAAGAGCTAAAATGAAGAAGTAAAAAAGAAACATTATTTTAGATCACTAAAATTATTATAGAAAGTTTTTAATGCAGTCTTGGAGACTTTTTTTTTTTTTTAGAAAATTACCACTGCCCTTCAGTTACAACAAAACCACTGCCAGGAGAAGCCTTCCCAAGCCCTCACATTTGCTGTCTGGCCACACAGGACAGCTACCTCTGGGTAAAGGAGTCACCTCAGTACGTTCACGCCGTCAACCAACTCCCAGCCCTACTTCTGCTCTTCACCTTGGAAAGCCTCGGTTCCACTGTCTGACACACCACCTTTGCTTAGGGAAAAAACTCAACAGTCCACCTCCACTGCTCAACCCACCAAGGCCCTACTGTGCTCACACTGTGCTTTGCAGTCCTGGGATCTGAGGCCAGGTGCTGCTGACTCATTCTGGTAAATGTACCAACTCCTACTAAGACTACTGATACCTTGAAACAACTCCAATATTGTGCTTTCTCTCACTAGCTGATTATTCTTTTCAATAACTTTTTTAAAAAATCAAATATCAAGTTTCCTTCCCTGACTTTTACATTAGTGTAAAATAAAAAGACAATCAGCAAAGGGAGAAAATGACCTAGGCAGATTCCCGCTTATGTTCTGTGAGGACTGGGGTATCTTATTATTCTATAGCAAAAATAAGTATGATACAGCAAAGGCTCTCTTTTAAAACACACCATCTAATGTTTCAAGACCCAGGAACACATTAGAGTTCTATAGGCCAAAGCATTACAGCCAAGAACAGCTGATAAATAATCAGAAGTGCCACCAGGAGGCACAACCTCCTGGCATTGAAGCTTCCTGTGTTCTGCAGAATGGGGCTCACCTATCAACTCCTTACCACCTGCACATCAGCACCCCAGTGGGCCTTGCTGACAACCCACTGCACTACCCTTTCAACAGGAGAGTAAATCTATCATGTAGGAAGATCTCCCACGAGGAAAAAACCTTTTTAGTGCAAACAATAATCTTAAAAGATCAGGTAATACAACAAGGCTTTTTTATTGACAGGAGGCAGTAATGGGCTACACTCTAAACATGTGATCTACTAGCAATCTACAATGTTCTAAGACAGAAGATAGCAAAAGAATCTAATATCTGTGAATCAGACCTAGCACACTGCACAGACTATCCAGAAGTAGGCACGGGGACAGGTGAAGCCCTAAGCAGTGTTTAAAAGTTTAAAACCAATTTCTCCTCTACAATAAACATCAACATATCCTCAGTCATTGGCATACTTACCGCACTGACTGAATTTCTCTTTTAATTTCTGCCAAGTCAAGTCAAAAGGCAGCTAGAATGAAAAGAGATATTAGTGACATATATACAAGAGGGAAAAAAGATTTTTAAGTATCCTTTCTGTTTGTTTCCTTACATTTCTGACAAATATCTGGTTGCCTTTGGAGCCTATTCTCTCTCTCATCCCGCTCCCCATGGGCCCGGACAAAAATCCTCGGTCCATGTCGATGCTCCTCTCCAGGATGGCGCCAATGCCCGGGCCCATTCTGTCAAAGCTGGAGCTCACGCGGTCCAAACCCATGCCCATGCCTCCAGTCACACTGCTCATGCCACCCATGCCACCACCTGAATTCTCACCACGGAGGCAGGGTGTGGAGATTTCATGATTTTGGTTCAAAAACAGAAGCAAAAGAAGAGAAGGAAAGAAAAAGGAGAACCATTTTTGAGAAAAGGCAAAAAAATTCATTTATATAATCAGATAGCATATAAACAAAATAATTTTCATTCAGACAAAACAATTATTCTCCAAGGAAGAGAATTTTAGTATACAGTTGGCTAGGTAAGAAATCGTAAGTCTAGCTACTATACACATTATACATATATACCTTTATAAAATTATATTCCGGCCATAAAACATATACATAAATCCTCCAGCAATCACTTTTATAATAGTTTTAAATCCTTATTTAGACCTTCTAACAGCAAGCATAGTGACTGTACCAAGAACGGTACATGGAGATAAACTCAAATTATTACAACAGCAGCACATGCCGCTCCCATTGTACTCTTACATAATATCCCTTCCCTAATCTTTCACCTCAGCATCTTCACCTGTTCCCCACAACTTCTCTTTTAACATCAATTTTTAATAATCATAAAAATTATTTTAACCATAGTATTACACACAACTTACAGAGAGAACACCAAATTATGCTATTATCCCCCTTTAGATGAAGCCTGGCGTATAGCTCCTAGCTCACATCTACTCATTCTTATGCATTAATTTACATTCTACCTTCTTTAATTTTTCCAGGCACATTTATGCTCAAAACATCCTTTTTTCTTGTACCAAGTATTCCCATACTTAAGAATTCTGAAAATTAACATCACCTTCAAAGTGGCTTTCTGTTAATAAGTACAACGTCAGAGAAACAGAAGTATAAACACTGAGATAAAAGAGGCAAGTGGGGAACTTATGATTAACAGAAAAAGAAGACTACAGGATGCTGAAACAAGGAATAAAATCAGAAAGGTACAATGGAAGTAAATGGATTCAACTGACAGGATTACAGAATTCACTCTTGAAGGCATTCAAGTAGGCTGTATTACTTGTTTGTGAACTTTTATCAACTATAGGACATCAATAAAGTATGGAGAGTTCACACAGGCATGGCCCAGCACGCACCAGATTAAGGCTTCATAAAAGGCTTAAAATATGGTGGAAAGGAGGGGAGAGATTAAACATTCCCCAGTGCTGCAACAACTCTCCATTCTATCGTGGACGGGACAGGGTTAAGAAGAGAGGAAATAAATACCTCTTCCAACCTCAGCCCCCAACCTCAGGTCTCTAAAAGTGTTATGTCTATGTCCACCAAAGACACACACTGTTCATAGTGAAATGAGTTACTCACTAATAGCTGTTACAGAAAATAAAATAGAAGCAAGGTTGGTATTAAAGCAAAACTTGTTCCTGACACATAATAAGAGAAATGTCAGATTTCTTAGGTGAAAAGATGGTTCCTGGATAGGCTGATAGTTCACACATACTCTGATATTAGTTTAGAAATATCAAAGACGTAAATTCAAAGTTAATTCAGAAATTTTAAACAGTGATCAAACAGAAAGCTTAGCTCAGTAAATCAAAATTTCTCAAATGATGACAAGACATATTAACATATAAGAGCAAAGTATTACTATACTACAATAACTGCTCTTGAAAAATCTTTGCAAGTGCTCAAATAAATTCTAGTAAAATTTAAACCTACTTATTCCAGATCCTACTGGCCCCATGTTAGAAGCTCCTATTCTTCCTGCAAACCCTCCAATCATTGCACTTCCTAAATAAGGATGGAAAGATAATATACTAATTAATTTAAATAATCAAACTTTAAAATTCTCAAGATACTATCCTCTCAGAAGATGCACAGAAACTGAAAATTACGAAGTATTCTGGAAATCGTTCAAATATCTTACTGAGAAAAACAGTATATTAAAATTCCTAAAGCATTTTTTTAGGTAGTAAGTTAAATGAAACATTGTAAATTTGTGATTTTTCACAAAACAAGGACAATTTTTGAAAATATAACCTGAAAAAAGGAAAGAAGTATGCAGCCAGCCCTACCAAGTCTACCAAACGAATCTCCAAAGCCTCGATTTATTCCAATATCACCACGTCCAAAATCTCGCTCCATGCTACTAGTCATCGCACCACGGTACAGTTCTGAAAAGATTGTGCAACAAATTAACTCTTTTTTCAAGTACATCAATGCATGGTAAACCATTCAGGAAAAAAACTTAAAACTAAACTGAAAAGACAACAGAAGTCAGAAATATAAAACTGCCTGATCCCCTCCCCAACTTACCTTCCACACCATGCCCACCCCCACCATGCTGTTCCTCACCCCTTGTGCCCATATGCTCTCTGAAGACACCCACAGCTCCCCTTCCTCAGCAAAGGGAGGGTGCTTCAGTACCAGGAATAGTCAATGCAGTGAACATACCCCCACCGCATACAGTACCTACCTCCCATCCGGCCCACTCCGCCAAATCCTCCCATGCTGTTCACTGCTTCCAGACCACCAAACCCAATTCCTATGGAATAAAGATAAATGTTGAGTTGTATAGCTGAAAGGTATGTTCTGTAAATGTTAGGACTCACCAGTAAGCTTGTCAGCCTCCCTACCCTATGCAGTTACTTCTTAACACATCACCTTCCCTTAAGTCTGAACCGGTCTCAATTTCTGTTAACAGCCTTTCGAACATGAGCCAACAGTGAACCACAATTTCTTTTCCTTAGAATTCTCAACACAGTTTCTAGTTCACTAAAAACAGTAATGGGTACATGCAAAAAAAAAAAGTAAGTGCTTAATTATACGTACCTCCTCCAATCCTATTCATTCCTCCAAAACCTGGACCATCCATTCCCATACCTCAAATAAAATGCACAGTATGCACTTTTAGTAACCTTTCCTTAATGACTAAAGAGTAACATAATGCACTTTAGCAAAACAAATACCACTGGACTGGCTAGAGTAGAACATCAGAGAAGCAACAGAACACAGAGGAATGCTGTCCCACAGCAGTCGTCCAGGATTCAAAAAGGCCTCTTGGAAGACTTATTTTACCAAAAGTCAAATTCACTGGTCACATCCACAACATTCAGTTAGAGAATAGCTAGACGTGGATAATCATTCACTTTTGGAACAGAAACAGAAATGTCACTGTAGAGCAAGCTTAGAGATCCACCCAGAAAGTACAGACTACTGAGTTAAAGAATATAGGGTGTGTCTAGAAGGGTGTGGGTGTGACAACACAAAGGTAAGGGATGAAATGTTTGGCTCATAACGATTATCATGATGACCAGCATAATTTAAAGCATGGCTGTAGCATCTCAACAAAAACCAGGAATCTGATATTATTTATTAGTCCATCAACTGCAAAGGTGATTCTCAAAATATGGTCTGGGGACCTTGGAAGTCTGACTAGCCAGAACTACTTAAGTCATCCAACACTCCAGACCCCACCTGTGCGGCTCTCGCTCCCTCATGAGCACAGGTGCGACTCTCTAGAGACCACACGCTGCCTGACATCACCACACACTGAACAGAGGCAGGTAGGGCAGCACATTCATCCTGTGCTCAGCCAAATGTTAGAGATGTAAGGAGATAAATGCTACTCCTCTCCTGCTTTTTTGTATTAAAATTACATTTTCTTTGTGACACCCTAAATATCTCCAAAACGAAGTTCTTTAAATATTATGACTGGCTAATAAGCCCTGTGTTTATTAGACAGCAAATGTATCACTTTAAAAGAGATCAGCAAGTTAGAATACTCACCACTTGGGCCTAAATTTCCCATTACACCACCAATGTTCAACTGGCTGGCACTAATAGGCTGTCCACCTGGACCAAGTCCCATTCCAATGCCACCAAGGCCACCTCAAACACAAAGAAGAACAGTATTACCAGATCCCTATACAACTCACTGGCACTAAAATTTAAAAACAACTATGAGCCTATATTAGTATCTCTAAAGTGTTGCAAATTTGCAAATAAGAGCTCTGGTTCCCGTGTTTATTTAGAAAACAGCATACAGTGCTCATTTCACCAGCACATATACTAAAATTAGAAAGCAACACAGAGAAGCCTGACTGTAACACTGTGTATTAATAAGTGCGTTCTAAGGCAGGTTTTGCATAAAGGTAGAGTGAATGGACTAAGATGCCAAAAGGGTTCTGAATGATATATCATCCTATAAAAGGTATACAAAACTAAAGAGGAAAATTGGCACAGATGTATATAATCACTTAAACTTTCAAACTACTTTTAAAACAGTCCAACTCAAACTAAAAAGTCAACAATCATGAAAACCTAATATTAAATACAGCAAATATTATATAATCTGCTTTATTAGTGACATAAATAAACTTACAGCACCATGTTTCATATCATCTGCAGATGAAACTGCTGAGACCTTAAATTACCTATAATATTACCTGCCATTTAGCCATGTGATTAAGCTAAGGCTAGAAATTATATCTTCTTTCCTTAAATCTAGTATTATATGATCTCTTTGAAAATAAATAAATTAGTTAAAATGAACTTATAAATAGTAAAACTAAGGAACATCTATCTGGATGGTGATTGATTCCTTTAAACTTGAGTACAGTTTTAAAGTTCTTTCTAGTCACAGTAGCAATAAATACGTCTAGGGCTGAGAAAATCATACACTGTATTTCATTTTTAGTAATTAGAATATAGAAGCATGTTGTAAAGATTGGTCTCTAGAAAAGTCCTAGCTGGAGGAGCAGCAGCACAGGCGGCCTCCACACTCCTGTGAGCACCCAGCCTCACCTTCCCACCCAATGCTGCTCCACACGTGTGGAGGCAGCAGGTCCAGTATCTCAGAACAAGAAAATCAGAATGGACCTCCGAGACTCTGCTTTTACCAAAAGTCAGACAGGCAGGCTTGGGAGAGAGGATATTCCCACTTGCCAATTACAATCGTTTCAGCAAAGGAAAGGAGAGAGGAAAGGAGCAAACACAGAGGGTGTGTCCTATGACAACTAGCTTAACAAAAAGAAATTGATTCTGTCAAAGTCCTTGAATGTACAGCACATCTCAACAAAGGAAAGCTTAAAAAAAGTACATCTCTAAAACAGTGTGTGTACCATGGAGGTGTAAACATAGTATGATGTTTTATCTAAATAAACAGAAGACAAAGCCAGGACTCTGAAGAGGACTGCCCCACCTGGGGTTCCCAGCTTAGTGTGAAAACTGCAGTTTCAGATTGTGAAAGCCTAGTGACACACAAGCACACACACACACACACACACACACACCCATGCACAGACTAGTCAAACTGTCCACCAAAGAAAGACCAAGATGTTAAAATCAGCTCTATGAAGAACACAGATCACTACAGAGACAGGGTAATTCATCAAATAGCTAATTTAAATGGCAATAATAGAAACTAGAAGACTATGAAGTATTTTTAAAATGCTGAGAGAAAATAATTTAATTCGTCAAATAGCTAACTTACTGCCAATAATAGAAACCAGAAGACTATGAAGTAATTTTGAAACGCTGAGAGAAAATAACTATCGATGCTAAACTCTGTAAATCTTGAAGACACTTGCAGACAAACCAGTTTGACAATTTAGCAACAACAGATCCTTGCTAAAACACCTTCTAAAATACATGTTTCAAAGAGAAAAAAATCAGTGCCAGTGTCTGTGAAAGCAGAGGAATGATAAGACAAGAAAACTAAAAATAATACTATTAATGATGTTCAATTTGTGGCAGGGAAAAAATGATATATTGCTAGAACACTAAGGAATAATACCACTTAACTCAGTAGGAAAGTGAGTGCAATTGAGGCACTACAGGTTCATTCTAAACTGAATGAAGAATAATTAGTTTAGGCTTTGTACAGACATACTAAAATATCCAAGATAACCACTAAAAAAAGACAGAAGAATAACTAAAACAAAAAAGGAACATGAAATAATATAATGGAAATTAAACAAACCATTAAATATATGTGAAACTCTTCAATTTCATAGTTAAGACTGTCAAACTGACTTTGAAAAAAATCTAATCCCAATCATAGTACTACTGTTTGTAAAGGACACATCTAAGAAGAGAGTAAAATATTAAAGGGAAGATAAAAATGTAAGAGAAATTCTAAGCATACAACACTGTTGTACTTATACTAGCAGCATTAGAGAAAGGACTCAAAGGAATTAATTACTAAAGATAAAATCACTCTATAATGATGCTGTTTGATTCACTAGGAAAATATATCAATTCCTTTTTTTTTTTAGTATATCAGTTCTAATCTTGACCTATTAAGTTAGCTTGAAAATATTTAAGTAAAAACAAGAAAAACTACAGAAATCCCTCACTCTGGTGAGATGTTTACAGCTCTCAGTAGCCAGCAACACACAAACTCTCCAGTAATGGCATAAGGCCGCCCACTCCATCAGTGGGCGCTACTCTGCAGGCATCTGGGATACTCAGAAGCATGTGCCACACGGCAGGCCTGGAAGTCAGTCCAGACTCATTGCAAAGAATCACAGACCATGCTTTTAGACCACACCAAAGTTAGAAATAAAACAAAAACTCATGCACTTAAAAATTCAAAAATTATATTTTAAAATAATACATGACTCAAAAATAAATCACAGTGGTAACTTTTGAACATTTTAAAATCTGAGTTATAATAAAAATACTCCATAGCAGAACCTGCATACAGTAGCTGAATTTATAATCTTAATTGTTTATCTTACAAAAGAAAGGCTTAAGTCCTCAATTTAGAGAGCCAAAAAAGAAAAAAGTTAAGAGGCTACGACAAAAATAGGAAGAAGGAAATATAAAGCTGAGAGGTGAAATTTAAAATACAGGAAAAAAATTCCCTTCTTTGAAAACATTTACAAAACTAACAAAGAAATTGTGAACTTTAGAATTGAAAAGGAGGCAGAAATATGGATATAAAAAATTTAAGACAATTTTATGCCAATAAATTTTAAAATGAGCAAACATGAAAAAACCCTTTGAAAAACAGAAATTAGAAAAACTTCACTCTAGAAGCAATAAAAATATGATGAATAGTTCAAAAATGTTCCCCAAATCATATATAAAGACCAGAAAGTTTTACACATAATATCTCACAAACACTAAGGAGTATGTAATTTTATCAGAAAAAGAACCAACACTCCCCAACTCAATGTTTTTAATAATTAAAAATTATGAGTAATCTAAAAAGCAGAAAAATTACATGAAATCCGAGCAATTAAATGAAGATACTAGAGTAACACCTAACAAAAAGAATCTCAAAAACAATTTTAAATGAAAAACAGCAATTTCTACACTAACGTGTGTGTGTGTGTGTGTGTGTGTGTGTGTGTGTGTGTGTGTGTGTGTGTGTGTGTGTGTGTGTGTGTGTGTGTGTGTGTGTGTTATGATTCACACTAAATTTTAAATTCAGTCTATGGATGTACACATGTATAGTCAAACTAGGAGAGCCTCAATGATAAACGCTGCACTCCTAAGTTGTTTACTCTGGTAAAGGCATATGTTGGGCAGGGAGTAGAGGACATGGGGAATCTCTCAATATGCAAAACTTTACCTAATTAAAACACTAACAGAAATTGTATGACATGTGATAGTTACAAGAATAACTTTATTTTTTTGAGGATATTTATTTTTGTTCTGAAAATGTTAATAACCAGTGAAGCAGTAAGACTAAGAGCTAAATATTTATTCTAAGTGTTTTGCATATATGAACTCATACTACTCCTGCCAGACCATGATAGAGGCACTAGGGACTACAGGATAATTATCCTCACTTCTGAGATAGGGTGCTGAGACACAGGTGTTCAGTACTTTACTGTTCTGTAACTCTCTGGAAAACAATCTGGTAATACTAATCAATGGGTACACCTTCATACCTTAAAAACCAACCTCAGAATATCTATCTTTAGGAAATAACAAAAAAACTACTAAAGTTTTAGATATAAAAAAGCACACATTACTCTGTTGGAAAAATAAAAGAAATAAAAGTTAAAAGACCTAAAATAAATATTTAACAGTGAAACAGCTATGGAGCAAATATATGACAGACATTTGGAAAGAATTTTCAATTCATAAAAATGGTTATACTTTATTGTTAAAACACATAAACAACTAAAAACACTGACAAAAACACTCGATATTTATATAGTTCTCAACTATGGAAAAAAATATATGTACGCAAGACTGGAAGAAATTACACAAAAATGTTAAGGTGGTAGGGAAATAACAGGACAACTTTTTACCCTTCATGAGTATGAATGTAACACATAATTTAGCATGACTGCCTAAGGAGTCAGGAAAAACTACTAAAATAAAAAATATGGCATATAGCATTTCTCTTCTTCGTATTCCTAATTAATAGCACCAAACTATGCCCAAAACTCCGAAACTAATTCCAGACTGTGAGCAACTTGGATGCTAGCACAAAAAGTTTTGCTTATTAGCACTTGACAAAACTGAAAAGACAAAGACTGTTATTTCAAATAATATATTTTACTTACGTGGTAATTGTGGTGTTTTACTATCATGTGATCGGTAGTCTTCATGAGGGACAGACTTGTCATCCTAATTGCAAAAAAGTATCATATGGTTAATGCATTACCTAAAAGCACTGTAATGCTGACAAAGATTGAGCGGTTGGGGGGATAAGTGACAGAGAGGCACTTACCATTTTCACATGCATAGGTCTGTCAAATAAAAACTGCCCATTGAACATAGCTGTTGCTTCAGTCAAGGAAAGCTAGTGACTGTAAAATTATACCTGAACACAAACTAATCTTATTGAAGGAGTATTGAATTATCACTAATATTTTAACACCTTTAATATTTATTGGTACAAATCTTCATATAAAGAAAACATTTTATATTTTAGTTTTATTCTATGAATAAAATATATTAGTTTAACCACTGAAAAAGAAAATTAACAAGGCTTCATTCATCTAAACAACTGCATTGATGTACAAAGGAGTACATGTACTAACAGTCCAAAGCATGCATGCATACAATTAGTTGTATGAAGAAGGGAGTAGAAAACAATTCGTAACAGCCATGTACATACCATATGGCTAATTCAAGCTGTAAAGTGACTTTAGTACTTGCACACAGTAAAGGTTTTATGTGCTGGAGACTGAAGTGCAACATACACATCTAAGCTAGGCAAGTCTGAATTCCCCCACAAGATGGTATCAAGCTTCTCCAGCCTCAATAAATAATGCTAAAATGTCAACCAGGATACAAATTGCTTGAACTGCTTCAATTGCTTGCTCAAAAGTGACTGTGCCCATTCCTCTGCTCTTGCCATCTTTGTCTTCTTTAATATCTGCCCGCTTTACAGTTCCAGCTATGCTGAACACTTCTTTCAGTTTCTTCCAACCAACTTTGAAGTCCAGCTTAACACAAAATTATATGAAGTTACATAGCTAATAAATGTCCCATTTTATAAATACAAAAGAATCTTTTTCTAAACTATGGCTCTTGTTCAATAGTACAGCAATAATGTTTAAATTTAAAAATCGTAAGTTGTTTAAAATCAATTCAGCTATACCTACACTGTTGCTTATCTTTATTTTTTAATTCCCCAAATCAACTGCTCAATCCCATTCTACATATAGCTCTTCCTCATTTAACAACCTACCTATTTCATGACTCACAGGACTTACAACCTGCCACTTGGACTTACAGCCTATCCATTGTTGCTCTTGTTGTTACAGTTCTGTTTTGTATAGTTTTTCTAGAGTACCACTGATATAGCCTCGATGGCTTTTTTGTTGTTGTTGTTCAGTACACCTTGTTGGTACAGTGCTATAATTTCTGCTGCTTGTATTGTATAGAACAGCACTGTAGCTTTATGTTCTGTTAAATATTACCATACTGCATGCAAGTTATGCAAATAAAGGCAAAGTCATCAAGTTGGAGCTTCCTCTGCCCATTTCTTTGTTCTGAATGTTTTAATGTACAAACTATACACATTTTCTCACTTAGTGACCAATTCATTTAATGACCTAGTTAGCAGACCACAACTCGGTTCTTAAATGAGGAATGCCTATACTTGAAATTTATACATCTATTTTTACTAAAAGAAATTCAGATTTTGGAAAGTAATGTCCATTTTACTCCTTTCAAGAACTCAGAATAATAAACCAACTACAACATTCACATTTACAAATTAAGACTACAAAAATGAAACCCATTTACCAGTATGAATAAAAATACATATAATTAGATAATATCACCAACTGCTCAAATGTTTATAAATTCCACAGTTCTGCTTAAAAAATAGTTGTGTTCAAACTTTAATCTCTTTTCATACATACAGGCTTAAAATGGGTTTGAGTTAACAACAATTATGATTTCACGAATTAAAACCAAGCAAAATGTTCTATAAACCTGAAAACCATTCGTCTAATTAAACAATCTCAAGCTTAAAACTAAGTAGGTAGCTGATGAATAACATTTTAGACTTAAGCTTAAACTTACATTAGCAACAAAAATTGTGGAACCAAGTCTACCAGCCTGCAAGTTGCTGATGACCTCAGGAGGAATGTTTGGGTTATTAAGAATGGATGGCGGCAAATTCATCAACCCTGACCCCATCTCAGGAGCATGGCCTCCTGGAAATGACCCTCCTGTTCGTTGCAATGCCCTACGAGCATTTTCTCCATCAGGATCCTGTAACACACAATGAACGTTAGGTGCTATCAACTACATCAGAAAAATCTACATACTTACAATAACTTCAACTTCTACAGCAGCTAACCCAACTGCCTCCAATTACTGACTCTTTTGAGGAATGAGGTTTTTGTTTTTTCTCAACCATAGAACTGAGAAAATTCTAAAAACCTGTGGGTAGACAAAAGATTTTAGTCTTCAGGGATATCAGTTAAATACCACTTTCCAATCACTAAAGTCATTAAGAATTTGAAATTAGTTTGATTTTGCCCTTATGTTAATGAATAAGTATGGTACATACATATATATAACACATACGACTCAAAGAGAAGCAAGAGACTCACTGTGACTTGTGACTCTTTTCAAAATACAGGAATGGTGAATTCTCACCATTGGAATTCTCACCAGTAGAATGTTAAATTCAGACCAGTGTTAAATACAAAGACTTTCAACAAACAGGCTGCTATAAAGTTCAGGAATACTGAGAAAAGGGATGTTTTATTGTAATTTGTAAATCTCATTCCTGAACAAAATACAATTATCCACCTTTTAACTTCTTATCTCCCTCAACAATGATTATGGCCTGAGATAGGAGGAGAAGAGGAGAAATTTAAAATAATGCTGTGTCCAAGTGCAGAATGACAGTAAACATTTTTAAAAATTCATAACCTACATCTATCTTTAGACAACCCCCCACCAAAAAGCAGGTTTATATGTACTTCTCTCTCATTCCACTAGGTGGAATACAAAACACTCACACACACACACACACACACACACACACACACACACACACACACATCTCCAGTGCCAGATGACTGCTAAAGGTAACCATCAACTCTTCTTTGCCGGCCTCAGTGGGAATACTAACTAACTAAAGTTGGATGACTTTAATAAATTCTCTGGGATGGCCAGTAGAATAGCAGATGAAAAGATGACTCCAAGAATAAAAGTATATTGGTTTCTAATGCATTTCTCCACTCATTATAAAGAAAATACAAAGGATTATAAAAGTAAAGAAATAAATGTTATCAAAGAATGGCATAAAATTTTTTGATTAATAAATGAATGTTGCAGGTTAGAGGATTTAAAAATATGTATAAATACAAAATTTAGAATCATGATTGCCCATGTGGCAAAGAGGACAAAACAGAAGGGAAAATACTTCTTGCAATATTAAGATGGGTCATTTAACATTACTACCATTTTAAACATCTAACATTGCTAAAGCATATGCAATGTTTTCATGTACCTTTTACATATGTATGACAAGTATATATACATGCGTGCGTGTGTGTGTGTGTGTGTGTGTGTGTATGTGAAACAAATCACCTAGAACATAATGGTTTTCATTACTCTTTTCTCCTTGCTGTCAGCCTGCTAGTCACTGACTGTTCTCGCTAACAGACCGGCTATGAATACATTTACAAGTGCTACTGACCTCTACTTAATTAAATGGAAAAGACATAATTTTAAGATCTGTTAAAGACACTGGAAATATACTTTCCTTAGACTTCCATCCCAATACTAGTTCTAAGCATATACCCAGCCACCCACTTGTAAATCAGTTCTTCCCAGAAAAGGAGCGGCTTTAGTAATCTTAATCCAAAAATGTTTAGTCACTTAAGAAGGCCAAACTTGCCTACTTTTTTTTTCCTCTTAAAAAGTTAAACATGGAGATATCACCTATCAACCTGAATCACACATAACACATTCTGGACTCTCTGAGATATACTGAGGATCAACAATGTGCTAAAATTCAAAAGAACACAATAACATGCCTTAGCTTTTAAAATCCAATATGTAAAAGTAAAAAGACCCTATAGTCATATGTCTTTATGCGGTCTGTATGATACCTCTATAAAGGAAATAAACTTAATCTCCAAAGAGAAATAAGATAAACAGGATAGGAAAATTATGGGCAATGCTAATGTAATTCTAAAGCACTGCTCCAGGCTTACACACAAAAGCTGCCACAGCGCAACAAGACTCAATTTTCTCTACCAATTCTTCATGTTTCTGTTAAAAAATTTTAAAAGGCCAGGGATTTAGCTCAGTGGTGCTGCTGCCTGCCTCACCAGTACAAGGTCCCGAGTTTGATCCCAAGTACAAAAAAAAAAAAATTTTTTTTTAAATGAAATAACCTTCAGGCAGAAAGAAGATTCAAGAAATTTGGACACTAACACTACTAAAAGGGCTTGGGATATAAGTGTATGCCGGAAGCATGACCTTTAATCTCAAACTATCAGCACACTCCAGAACAAGGGACCAACAATCCCTGGACAGGAATAACAGCAATCATCATTATTTTTACTAACATTATGCAGCTAAAATATTCTAGGCACAATGCTAAGGGCTTTATATAATACTATAAGGCCACAAATATATTAACTGTTGAACACTAACCAATGATGAGCAGTAATGATAACAACTTGGAATAAGTCAAAAATAAAGAAAAACTACTTAAAGGAAAACAGGAAATCACGTGCAAATGAAGCTATCATTAACACTCAATGCTTTAGGGCTGGGGATTTAGCTCAGTGATTCTGCTGCTTGTCTTGCAAGCTCAAGATCCCGAGATCGATCTCCAGTACCACCAAAAACAGAAAAAAAAAATCAATGCTTTAATAAGTCCCCAGCTTAAAAAACAGAAGCTATATTCAGATAAATGTATTCTCAAAATGAAAATCTAAAGGAAGACTGTCCTTATAATCAAATGTTTAAATTTCAGAGAGATCTTACCTCTTTTATATTCAGGGGTCTTCCACTAAGATCATATTTATTCATAGTTTCTAGTGCTTTCTTTACAAATTCTTCATCTTTGAATTCAACCACACTTAATGGAAAAAAATTTATAAGAAATGTTTATGTACTAAGACTTTCTTTCACAGTCAGAAGTTTAATTTGACTTAAGGTATTGGAAAAAAAATTCTTACCCACAACCCTACATCCAGGTAGATTTATCAATATATGCAAAAGAAAAAAAAGTTTTAGATCAGTAGATGAAGTTAACAGTAGATTCTAACACATCATTAAAAGTAATCAATTATATAATCATTTTAAAATCTTTTACACCTCCAGAACATAGCAAGCAAGTGATCCTAAATTTTCAATAAAATTTTAAATCCATCTATTTATAATAAAGCCTACCATGTAACAAGCTTGGAGCACATTTTTACTTTCAAATGACTTTTCTTAAAGTTAAAACTAGTATCACTGTACAAATTCAATCAACAGTAATTCTAGGAAGTATTTTAAGACTCCAATATACTTGTTCTTACATAGTTACAAATATTTTTAAAAGATATATTATGTACAACATACTTAACTCTAAGAAAATAAAAACTGCAAATAATATTAATTCTATTTTTAATGAAGTTCTGTATTAGATTTAAACTCACTGCAATAGCATCCGATTGTAAATACGCAAAAATCACCTATGCAAAAGACTTACAATCATTTTTTAAAATAATTTCTTGTGATTACTGTTCAAAGTGTCATTTGAATACATTATTTTTATTTCTTTTTTTTTTTTCTTGGTACCAGGGATTGAACTCGGGTCCTTGCGCTTGTAAGGCAGGCCACCGAACCACTGAGCTAAATCCCCGGCCTGAATACATTATTTTTATTTTTTTTTTTTTTTCTTTTTTTTTTTCTTGGTACCAAGGATTGAACTCGGGTCCTTGCGCTTGTAAGGCAGGCCACCGAACCACTGAGCGAAATCCCCGGCCTGAATACATTATTTTTATTTTTTTTTTTTTTTCTTTTTTTTTTTCTTGGTACCAAGGATTGAACTCGGGTCCTTGCGCTTGTAAGGCAGGCCACCGAACCACTGAGCGAAATCCCCGGCCTGAATACATTATTTTTATTTTTTTTTTTTTTTCTTTTTTTTTTTCTTGGTACCAAGGATTGAACTCGGGTCCTTGCGCTTGTAAGGCAGGCCACCGAACCACTGAGCGAAATCCCCGGCCTGAATACATTATTTTTATTTTTTTTTTTTTTTCTTTTTTTTTTTCTTGGTACCAAGGATTGAACTCGGGTCCTTGCGCTTGTAAGGCAGGCCACCGAACCACTGAGCTAAATCCCCGGCCTGAATACATTATTTTTATTTCTTATTTACCAACTTGTTTTTGCTAATAAAATTAAACATTGTAAAGAGCTTTCCATTGCATTCTTCAGTATATCGTACAGTTGTTAAAAATCAAAATCTACTATGAACCAATTCCTTCTATGTTAATTTATTCATCAATGTCCTTCATCAGAGCACTGCCTCTTATGCGGTCCTACAGGTTACAATTTTCAATAAAAGTTTCAACTTTCTCAATAAAAGTTTCAAAAATACATTCTGAATTAACACCTTTAAGCTACAAGCCTCTCAAAAAACTCTTAGAGAATAATATCAATTCAGTGACTTTAAAATATCCTTGAAGACATCAAAATACAACAAAAAAATTTTGACTTAAGAAACATTGCCTTAGAGTATTAGAAAAGTGAATGCCCTTTACAAAAACATTTACCAAACCCATCCCTTCCAGGCAGCTAGTTGGCTGGTATAAGTGTCACTCTTACTAGTATAAAGCCTCAAATCTTGAATAATAAAGTAAAGCAAAATGAAACTTAAGTTTCCAAAAACTGGTACAAGTATTATACAAAAAGTAAACTGCTGAGGAACTTTTAAACCTCAAGCAGATTATTGCCCACAGCACTTACCCTTGATTTTCCTTCCGCATCCTTAAAGAGCTCCACGTATGTAACCTCACCGACTACATAAGACATACAAAAGGAAGATACCAAGAAACAATACATTTAAACACCAGTATCTTGCTTTACTGCACACCTGTGCACAACTCTACAGAAAAGCACCTATTATTCACCAACAATCAAAACCAGACCAACATACCTCCTGTCAATGGCTATGTAAATTTAACTAATTTTCAGAAATGTACATCATCCACATTCTCTAAAAAAAAAAGCTAACAACCATATTAACCTAATTCATACTACAGATCATATTTTGGCCAGCATGATATAGTTGGTGAACAAATGCACATATACATACAAATGGTCCCTTAGCCTATCATATTAAAAGACATCAACATTAGCACTTTTCAATAACTTTGGTCAGCCTACACACAACAGCTGTTTTAAGGTGACCTTCTACCTGAATGTCTTCAATCATGGTTGCCATCAGTAAACTAAATTTACAAGTCATGCTTCACAGCAGGCCACACACTTTCTAAATAAAGTCAATGAATAAAACCAATCAAATAGTTGTCACCTTACAACAGATACACCAATGCAATTGTTTTGTATTTATTAGAAGAGATCAGCCTCAAAGCCAAGTACATAGTTTGCGGGACTGGTGAAACTCAATTTTTCAAGAAGTAACAGAACTAACTTTTACAAAATCAAGTATTAAAATTATTTTTCCCCAAAACCAACCATGTATATAAGATGAAGGTTTTCAGATTATTCTGAAATCAAACTACAACAGCAGTAACGCAATATTAATATAGAACTGCAAAGACAGCATCGTGGCAGTCAGGACAATGCAAACAAAAGGAATTCCACAGCCAGATTCCAGACTCCACCAAGGTAATAACAAAACAGCTTTTGGGAAAAAAATAGTCAGACCTTGTTATTCATACATTAACACACTGCATGTATTGCTTACCTAATGCAATAATGCTTTAAAAATCTATAGAAACTTCAACTAGACAAAGCAATCACTTTAACAAAATTCTTGGTGGCATGCAAATGCTGGCTTGCTACTATCCTACTAAAGTGGCGAAAAGAAAGTACTTCATTTATCCATACTACCTTGGAATGAAATCGTGTCAAGTGAAAGAAGAGGAAAAGATTAATTCACACGTCAGGAAATAAAAATTAATATTTTGAGTCTATGTGGCTAAGAAAAATAAAAGTGTGCTTAGTTTCCTCCCCTTCTGATACAAAGATTAACCAACAGTGGGTGAATTCAGAGACACTTACCTTTCTCTCTCATGAGGTCTTTAATAGCTTGCCATTTCATATCATAGGGGATGTTGCTAATGAAAACTCTGTTACGGTTTGGACCCTTCTTTTCTCCAGTGGCTGAATTCTTGTCTTTTGAATAAGGATGAAATCGATTAGCCTTCTTATTTCCTGTGGATTTCTCTTTTAGGTCAGATTTCTCTTCTTTCACTGATTCATCATTCTCGCTATGAATTTTAAAAACAAAAAATAACCTCAGTAGTGCATCTAAGAATGTAAATCTATATTAAACAATTCGTAAGTTTCACTTCATAAAATCCTCCACTAAACTAGGCCTCAGCAAAGCAGTTGAACAGACACTCTGATAGGTTTGAAACGACTCAACATCATTTCAAAGAAGGGTTTGAGCATCCAGTATTACCAAACTTCTCAGTTTCCCACTTAACAACCCTCATATTTCCACATATTCACCAGCTGCAGGCATCCAATCGCCCAGTTTTTCCCTTCAAACTACTTTATAAACATTATTAGAACCTATGATAGGATATTTTCACAGTATGTAAAATTGTCACCTTTAACGGGCTATTAACTTTGAAGGTCTTTCAAAACTCTTAAAAACCTCATTTATTAAATGGTATCGTTTCCTAAAGGTTAAAAGTTTCTTCACAGAACTTGCTCCCTCTTTACTATAAATGTAAAAAAAATACATAACTCTCACCTATATACCTACATCTATACATGTATATGGTCACATACAACTCTCAAACTTTTTCTATTCCCAAATTGGATTAACAGAAAACTTATAAGGTATCCTAACCCCTTCATGTTGAACATTTTTTCTGTCTCTAACAATAAGATAGTATAGGATATTTCAGGGGATTGTATCACTTTAATGTTATCTATAATGAAGGCACAGGATAGAGGAGGCAGTAATTGAACACAACATGAACCAGAATTTTATAAATCTATTTAACAAAGCCTAATTGGAAAAACATTTAATTTATAAGGATGTAATCATAATGTCATTATTATGATGCTATGAAATGTAGGTTATACATAAGACCCAAGCATGTACTGTACTCTAGGTAAACCCTATAGATAAAAATCTGGATTTTTATTTAAAAATGCAATCTACTTTTCAAAACAAATCGTTTTTACAAATTTCTTTAAAATTTCTTTAAAATTACTGCTCTAGTCAAATTAAATTTTGTAGACATCACAACAGATTCCTTTCTAAATCAATAGAATTACACCACAGAATTTAAAATTATTAACAATATTAGAGCTTTCACAAAACATATACTAATAAAAATACTCAAGAATGACACTCAGGAATCTAATTTTTTAAAACTCCCTGTATTATTGTGAAAACCAACCAGGTTTCCTACCCTGGGCTCTAAATGCCCTTCTAGGCAAGCACTGTAGATCTACATGGTGCCTTACTCTACAGACAATCTTGCATCAGTCTTGAGTTTCATAACGCCTCGAGTTTCCTAGACATTGCTCTCCTGAGCAGGTAACACAGCTTTAAAGCATGGTTACACAAACTCTCCAAGAACAAGAACTCTCTCCTGCGGAACAGCTCAGCTACCCCAGCAAGTGACTGCATGTAACAGTAATTCTGAAGGAATGGACAATGAGCAACCCAAACTCAGCCAGTGTCTGCCAGAGAAGCTGCTGAAACCAAGGAAGAGACATTAGTACCAGATTTGCTTTGCCACCTCTCCAGACCATGAGAGGGACATCTTCCTGCCAAACAACTCCCTCATCAACAATGGTGGATCTAAAAGAGGTCTTCTAGGCCGTCCAGTTCTAAAAAGCACCTCCCTCTGTGCAGATGGCAGTGCTGAGAAAGGCAGGGAGGAGCCAAGGCACAGAGGGCTCTTCTCTGGCTCCGGGGGGCAGCAAATACAAGCCCCTCTTACTACTTCCCTAAAGGACCTAGTTACATGATAGCTTCAGCTGAATTCAATGAACATTTGTAAAGTAAGTCTCTATTCATATAACCAGATATCTATATAATCTCTAGATCAAAATCCTTCTCACTATTTCTCCTCCTGAAGAAAACCAACTGTGAACATGAACAAAGTTCTAAAGTATCCACAAGGTTGTTCTGTTCTTGACTTGGGTGGGGATTACATGAATGTGACAATCACTGGCTCATAACAACCTGACAATTGTACTAAAGACCAGTCTTTTATATAGATTATCTTCTCTAAGATATTTATCAAGAAGAAATAGCAATTTCTTCTTCTCACCCGACTAGTAGCATCTTATCTGTATCACAAAACTACCTCCAATACATAAATTATCCATGGAAGAAATATCAGTTTAATGACTAGAAGAATGATCTGATTAAGAAACTAAACCATAATTACAAAATTCCTGAGTTCTTTCTGTGCCATAAATACACTATGGAGAGAAAATAAAATATATGTGAAAACTCTTAAGGAAACAACACTACCAAATACTGGCACTATATCCAGAATTCAATGTGCTAACTCTCAAACTGATCATTTTGGTAAACCCATCCTTAAAGTACTTAAAGACTAGAATAGTTATAAAAATTTTATCTGCTCTTGAGACTAAATTATTCTTTGCCAAATTATAAATTTCTGAAAAAAAATCAGTATCTTAACAGCAAATGAAGAAACACAGTATTATGTGATTTTAAAACATGAGATCTAAAATCCATCCAGTTTCAGAAGAAAAATACCAAAGGAAAACTCACAGCTTTACGTGCCTAAGGGAAAAAACTGAACTTAACCTAAATTCACACTTCAAGGAACTAGGAAAAAAAGAACTAAACCCAAAGTTAGTAAGAGGGAGAAAAAGAGAAAGCAAAGATCAGAGCTTAAATGAAATGCAGTAGGAAGGTGAAGGAAAAGGTCAACAAAACTAAGAGTTTTTTTAAAGAAAAATAAAATTGACAAATATTAGGCTGATGCTAAAAACAAAAGACCCAAAATGAGAAATTACAACTGATAAACACAGAAATACTAAAGGATAAGACAATACTATGAACAATTATATGCCAACAAAATGGAATGAAGTCAAAGAAATGGATACATTCCTAGAAGCACACAAACTCACCATGACCAACTAACGAAGCAGCAGAAAATCTAAACTGTCCAATAGTGACAAAGAAGATTGAATCAGTAATCAAAAATCTCCAAAAGTCATGCATGGAGGTACAAGCCTGAAACTTGGCACACTGGGAGACTGAGGCAAGAAGATCACAAGTTCAAGCCCAGTCTTTGAAACTTAAAGGCTCAATAAGAGCCTGTCTCAAAATAAAATTTTAAAAGAGATAGGAATGTAGTTCAGTGTGAGGCCCTGGGATCAATCTCCATTACTGAAGGAAAAAAAAAAGTTCCCCAAATGAAAAGTCTAGAACCTGAAGTTCACCCTGCTGAATTCTATCATACATTGAAGTATTAATACCAAATGTTATTCAACTCTTGCTCCAAAAAACTGAACAAGAGAGAATTCTTTCAAATCATTCTACAACACCAACATTACTCTAATACCAAAGCCAAAGACACTGTACAAAAAGAGAATTGCAGGCCACAATCCCCAATGAACAGATGCAGAAATTTTTACCAAAATACTACCGCCAGTGCATTAAAAAGATTTTATACCACAAGTGAGACTTACTACAAGAATAAGGACAGACCAACAAATGCATATCAATAAATGTGGTTCATGACATCAACAAAATGAAGGCTAAAATAATAAAATCATCATCTCAACAAATGCGGGAAAATATTTAACAAAATCCAATACTTTTTCATGATAAAAGCTCACAAATTACAGAAGGAAGGCACTTCAACATAATAAAGGTCACATATGCAGGTTCCCTGCTAACTTCATCCTCAACAGTGAAAAACTGGTAATTCTTCCTCTAACACCAGTACGAAGGCAAGGACACCTGCTCTCAGCACTTCAACATGGTATTCGAAGTCCTGACCAGAGCAATTAGACAAGAAAAAAACCTGAGAGACATGCAAATTGGAAAAGAGAATGTAAAATCATCTGGTGGCAGATGATGTGATCTTTTTATAGAAAACCTTTAAAAGTCCACCAAAAACTATTAGAACTAATAAATGAATTCGGTAAAGATATACAAAATCAACATACAAAAACTAGTTATAGTTCTACAAAGTAATGATCAACTATCCAAAAAAATCAGAGCACAGTTTTATTTATAATGACATCAAAAATGAAAAGAAAAAAATACCTTGGAGTAAATTTAACCGAGGGGTTGAAAGACACTGAAAACTTTAAAACAATCGTAAAAGAAACTCAAGATGATACAAATAAATCAATATTCTGTGTTCACGGACAAGACAATGTTATCTAAATGTCCATAAACCCAAAATAACCTATCAATTCAATGTAATCCCTATCCAATTCCAATGGCATTTTTTATCAAAAAATTAGAAAATCCTAAAATTTGTATGGAACTACCAGTAACCCCAAATCGCTAAAGCAACCTTGAACAAGAGCAAAGTCACAGGTATCACATCTCCTAATTTCAAATAATATTGCAAAGCCATAGAAATCAAAACATTGTGGTACTGGAATAAAAACAGACACAAAAATCAATGGAACAGAATAGAAACCCTACAAAAATACCCAGACAGACACAGTCAATATTCTTTAATAAAAGTGTCGAGAATATGCAATGGTGAAAGAAGAATCTTTCTAATAAAGTGTTGGAAAAACTGGATGTCCATGTGCAAAAACACCCAAAAAAACTGCTTCCTTACAACACACACAAAAAGCAACTGAAATTGAGAGATAATACCTGAAACATATAACTCCTAGAAGAAAACAAAAGGGTAAAGCTCCATGACAATGAACTTGACAATAATTTTTTAGATATGACACCAAAAGAAAATAAAAGCAAAGCCAGACAAGTGGGAAACTACTGTACATCAAAATGAAGTTTCTTTCTACACAGCAAAATTAACAACAAAATGAAAAGGCAAACTACAGAATGGGAGGAAATATTTGCAAACCATATATCAGCATAAGAAATACTGTAATTAGCTTTCCCATCCCTAAAACAAAATATCTGACACCCTCGAGTTAAAGGAGGAGGGGCTTAATATGGCTCACAGTTTGAGGGGATTCAGTCCATGGTCAGCTGGCTCCAAAGCAATAAGCAGCATGGTAGAGGGCATAGCAAAGGAAAGCTGCTCACCTCATGGCAGGCAGAAAA